TTGGAAACCAAGGAGGAAAAAGAAGGCGGCGGCAGCGGCGGCGGCGGCCGGGGGGGCGCTCGGACTGGCTAAACGATCCTCGTTTGGAGGGGTGGCTTGAAATGAAACAAAAGCTCTTCAAGGGGAATATTCATTTCTGATTAAGTGATCCATCAAGCAGGAGAGGGGAGGGGAGGAGGGAGGAACTACACACCGCGAGAGACACAGACGGGGAGGGGGGAGGGAGATCCTCGGATACGACGCGCAGTTGGCAAACCCCGCTCCGGGCCTGGACGAGCGCTGCCAATTCCCAGCGGCGCCGCGGATGACACAGCGCAAGAGGAGCGGAGCACCAGCCTCTCTGCACACGTGTCTCCGATTTCACCCGTGGAGCCAAGCACCGACAAGTAGCGCGCTGCTGGGGCCTGGCCCTCCTGGGAAGGTGGGAGGGGAGATTTCCTCCACCTCGCGCAGCCTTTGGGAGGCGCTACGGGCGCTCTCGGTGAAGTGGAAGCCACGGCTCGGGAGGGAAAGACAAGGCCCCACTCGCCCCGTGCCCTGTCCCGCGGTACACCTCGGGTCGCTGGGATTTGTAACCGAAGGGTCTCTCTCTCTGCTTTCAACTGACGAGTGAAATGTCAAAGCCCAGAGAGCCCAGCGATCGCTCAAGGGGCGCCAAACAAGTTACTCAAGCACTTTGATTTAAAAACAAAACAGAAGGGGAAACCATTCCAAGAGACAACCGAAAAGGTATCAGGAAAGCCAGCCGTCGGGCAGACACTCTGGGGCCGCGGGAAAGGGGCCAAAGGGACAGAGAGGAACCCGGGGAGATTCAAGCCTGGCCAGTTCTCTGGGCCAAGAGCCGCGATCCACACCCGGTGGAAGTCAAGGCCCCAAATTCTGGGCTACTTCCGTCGAGTCTCCCGTGACACGTCCAACCAAGAGCTACGGAATCAAGAGCGCAGGAAAATCAGTTTACTACCGAGTGGCAACAAAGGACCAGCGCTGCCTTCCAAAGAAGGCGATCCAGTCCAGTCCCTGTAAAGTTTCTCACCGACATCAACGGGAGATGCGGCCCGGTGTCGGGCATGCAGACGACGGCCGGCTCCCCGTCAGATGTCCCAAGGCGGCAGTAAAGCCAGCCGGCTGCAGGCCGATGTTACAAGGGCAAGGCCGGACACTCGCCCCGGAGTCCTTTCGCCGGGCAAAGCTTCTTCCAGGCTCCCAAACGGAGCGCCCTCCCGTGCCCGGATCTGACTCTCCTCCTGGCAAGAGCGGAGCAGGGGCCAGCTGAGTGGCTGCAGGAGGGCGGCTCAGGCGGGGGCCAGCCTCGCAGGGGGTGGGGGTGGGGGTGGGGCGCTAGCCGGGCTCCTGGCCGCGCTTAATCCCCAGTCAGGATGATGGACAGCAGAGATAGAACAATACAAACTAATGGCTGTGTTGCTGATCACTTTACCCCTTGATTAAAGACACCCAATTATGGCGCAGAACAGTGTCGTAATTATGTTCCTTAATCACATCCAGGAGGTCTAATTGCCTTAACGATGTGTTTCATTAAATGAATTTAGGTATTATAGTCGACAGTTTTCATACACAGTTGTTTTCAAATTAACATAATATTAGACATCGTCATGGAAATTGTTTTAATAATCATAATTAGACGCACCCAGGCTTTGTCTGGTAAATACCGAGCGACGCTTCCTCCTGGCGCCTGGGGCTGAGCTGCCCACCCCGTCTGGGCTGCCTTCGCCGCGCTTTACAGTTACGGCTCTTGAAAAGTTACCGGCTCTGATTAATCTCTCGCGATGCGAAGTGGAGCAGAAAGGATCTGTCCGCCCCCGGCAGCGCGGGCCGTTTAGCGGGGAGAAGCCGTCCGCAGCCGGAAACACCCACAGGCCGGCCGGCCGGCCTGTCTGCAACTTAGCCCTGCCGGCCCGCAACCACGGCCCGGAAGCGCACCGAAGTGGGGCCCGGAGCGAACCGCGGGCGGAACCTGGCCCTAGCCGCAGAGCAGGGACCGAGCCGGCCGAACGGGATGGCGGCGGCTCGGTGGGAAGGGAGTTAGTCCAACCACCTGGACTGGCCAGGTAGAGCGAAGCCGCCGACTGTGGAAGTTGAGAGTTTGTTTGGAGTCCCCCAACAGCTCGCAGGAAGTCTGAGTTTGCCCGCATCAGCCCTGGGCACCTGTGGGACCTTCAATATGTGGGGATTGTCTTGGGGGCCCGCCCGTCCCAAATCTGATTTTCTTCCTTTAGAAGCAAGAATCTGGCGGGCCCTTTTCGTCCTGCGCAACAGTCCCTCTCGTCCGCACACCGGCATAAATAAAATATAAAAACAACTGGACAAGGTGGCAGTGCCTCCGCGACATCTTGCTAAATTAGAACGTTATTCCCCCCCCCTCCTTAAAACTGTGTCCACCTGAACCCAACGAAGGGAGGGGGGCTGGGCTTTTGCCCTTCTCACAAAGCACATCATGATAAAGATTTGTTCAAAATATTTTAATAAAGATTCTTTCCGACACAGATACACGTACAAACCACCATACATCGCTGTCATCATCTGACTGACCTATTTAATATATATCACTCTTTACACATCCATGACGTGGCAACTGATCCATCACGGCTCTCCGTTCGCCATCCAGAGTTGACAGGCTGAACTGGGATTATCAGCAAGTAGAGGGGAATAGCAGGCCTGGGGGGGGGGGCGAAAAGATTTTCGGATTTCCACTTCCTTGGCAGTCGGAGCCGCAGTCCAATTCTGCCAAAGGGCTGGGCTTCCAGTCCCTCTAATTGTCGAGGACAGGCCCCGTTCCAGCCGCAGCCCAATTAAGTTTAAACGCCGATTACTTACAGCGGAGGCCCTTGCGCACACTTTCCCCTTGGAAACAAGTTTGGTGGCAGTAAAAGGGATTTACTTTTTCAAGGCGATTTACTAATTCCAGCAGGGGCAACTGCCCGATCCTCAGTCCGGTTTGCCTGAAATAGATTTCGACTACTTATTCGGATGAACATTCACCTGAGAACAATGAGTCTTACTCCCCAAGTAAATGTAATACGGATTTCGATGCGAAGTAGAAGGACCTATTCCGATTTAATTGGGTTGCGGGTCAGAAGCTACTTGGCTAACCATCCCCCCCCCCCATGCATCGGCTTAAATGGGTTGTGGGCTGTTTAAGGTACATCACAGTTGTCGGGGGACTCGTTAAGTCACACGAACTCAACTTGAAATCTACCTCGGAGGAAAACGGCTACTGCTTGACTTCTTGGCCTCCTGGCATCAGTTGGTGTGTGTGTGTGTGTGAACCAGCAGCTCACACCTTCGAACAGAAGAGCTTCCCTTATCTCTAATCGAAAACTCCCCACTTTCTCGCCATCAGGGGCGGCGGGGGGGGGGGGGGGTGTCTTGCTTTGCAAATTCTCCCTGCCTTGTGCCTCGTCACACTACAGAGCCAGGAATCCCTTCACGCTGCCCAGAGTTTCTAGACCCCGGCAGCCCGGTTGGTTAAGCAATTAAGAATACACCCCTCCTGTCATTTTTGGACTGAAGCGATTTATTAAAGCTCAATTTATAAATACAGGGATGATGCAAAAATCCAGATGACCTTCATAAGCCCCAGCAGCTCGGATACATCAAGATTTCTGGTTCATAATGTCCTTGGCAAATTAACACTTTAAACACTTGGCACAAAGTTAATGGGGCTGTTGAGAAGCATTGAAAAAAGGAAAAAGGGGGGGGGGGACACGTAAGACCCCATGACCTTAACACAGGATGACTATTCTTGGCGTGAAAGGGTCATTGAAATAAATATGTCTTCTTGCACACAGGATTGCAAAGTGAAAAAGAAACAAGGTGCACATCTCTCAATAATAATAATAATAACAACAACAATCAACCTGCATGACTTCAGCCACACGAACAAGGAGTTGGCCCCCTCTTGTTAAGCTCACTCTCCGCCAAAACTTTGCACTTTTTCACAGGCTCAGAAGTTCAGAAGAGATTTTGAAATGCAAGTATTTTCAGAACAATTTTTGCGCGTGTCTAAACTCACGAAGTCTATATTTCAAGTTTGCTTGTTTCCTGGCTCAGAAGAAAGAAAAAAAACCCCAAACCGAACAACAACAAAAAAGTAAAACATTTCAAAAACAAAAACAAAAAACACAACCTTTTTAAGTGCCCTTCTTGATTTGTCTGAGTTGACAATCCACCTGGCTCCCCTTCATGCCCAGCCAGCTCCCCCCCCCTTTTTTCTTGGTCTTTGGAAAAAGTTCCCGACACTTGGAGGTTTCACGGCCGCATGCGGAGCGCAGAGGATTCTCACCCCATAGACTCTTCTCTCTCGCTTTTTGTTCACACTCACCCCAAAACACATACACACTCCCCAAATGCGACTCTTTTTCTGCGTATGAATTTAGACTTCGCTGAGGTTCCAGTTGCACGCAAGCCCCTACCCCCACCCGACCCCCTCCCCAAGGCGGCTGTAGCAGAAGTCCTGCCGAGGAAAGGCAAGGCGAGAAGGCCGGCTCGGGCACGGGCGGGAGCGGGCGTCTCTGTCTCTCTCCCCGGCGCGGGGGATTAAGGCTTCTCCGTGCACTGCTTGCAGAGGCTGGACGAGACGCTGTTGAAAATGGCACATTTCTCCGGGCACGAGGTGGCGGGGGGCAGGCCGGCGCTGAAGGGGTAGCCGGCGGCCGCCGGCTCGTAGGCCCCGAGGGCCGGGTGCAAGGCGGCGGCGGCGGCGGCGGCAGCGGCGGCGGCCGAGCCGGGCAGCGAGGCGGCGGAGATGGCCTGGCCCTGGTTGAGATAGGCGACGAGGCGGCGCATCTCGTCGAGGGCCTGCGCCTGCATGAGGATGTAGTTCTTGGCCAGGAGGAGCGTGGCGATCTTGGAGAGTTTGCGCACCGAGGGGCTGTGCGCGTAGGGGATGACGGCCCGCAGCTCGTCCAGCGCGTCGTTCAGGTCGTGCATGCGCCGCCGCTCGCGGGCGTTGATGTTGAGGCGCAGCGCCTTCTGCTCCTTGGACTTCTTGCCGCCGCCGTGGTGGCTGTTGGAGCAGGCGCCGCCCTCGGGCGTCTTCAACAGGGCGCCCCCCGCGCCCCCGCCGCCGCCGCCGCCCGGGCCCCGCAGCAGCAGCTCGCAGCGGCCGTCGCTGTCGTCGTCGGGGCTCTGCTCGCCGCCGCTGCTCTCGGCCGCCGAGCTGCGGCTGGTCCCGCTCGGCCCGAACTTGACGCCCAGCGGGTCTCCGGCGCCCAGCGCCCCGGCCGCCCCTTCCCGCAGCAGCGCCTCCGCCTCGGCCGCCTCGTAGCAGCCGAGGGGCGAGGGCGCCTGGCGGGGCTGCGGCTGGTGGGCGGCCAGGTCGAGCCCCGGGGGCGAGCGGAAGGCGGACTCCATCCTCTTGGCCGCCGCGCCCAGGCTCGTGTGGAACAGGTCCTCCTCGGCAGCCAGGCGCCGCGCCCGCTCCATCCGCCCCGCCGCCGCCGGGCTCCCCTCCTCCGACTCCTCCGACTCCGACGCCTCCTGCCGCCGCCTCTTCGCCCCTCCTCCTCCTCCTCCTCCTCCGCCGCCTCCTCCTCCTCTTCCTCTTCTTCCTCCTCCTCCTCGCAGCCGGGCCGAGGGGCTCTCCCCTCCGAGCGCGGCTCCTCGCCGGCCGCCCTTTGCCTTCCCGCCGGGCTCAAGCCAGCCTGCTCGGGCGGCCCCTCGGACGCGCGCTCTGCCTCTCCGGCTGCCTGGCTGGCTGG